TTAACCCCTCTCTCTCAGTGCAGTGTTAATGTACTGGAGTGTCCAGTCAGTGTGTGTGTGTTAACCCCTCTCTCTCAGTGCAGTGTTAATGTCCTGGAGTGTCCAGTCAGTGTGTGTGTGTGTTAACCCCTCTCTCTCAGTGCAGTGTTAATGTTCGGGGGCGTCTGTGTTAACCCTTCGCTCTCCCTCTCTCTGCCAGGCTCTGGCTGCCAATGCTGGGACAGGGTTCGCAGTGGCCGAGCCCCAGGTGGCGATGTTCTGCGGGAAGCTGAACATGCACATCAACATCCAGACCGGCCGCTGGGAGCCTGACCCCTCGGGGACCAAGAGCTGCCTGGACAGCAAGGAGGCCATCCTGCAGTACTGTCAGGAGGTGAGTCCTGGCTCCTGAGGAAGACCTGGAGCAAGGGGTCTACCCCAGACACACAGACATGCTCGGCAGGGATACAGAGACATGGATAATCAGGCAGACAGAGCCTGAATGCAGATGGATCGGTTGATCCAGGGACAGGTGGACAGATCGAGGGATCGAGTGATGGGCAGATGGACTCGAAGCTGGCTGAGCTGGTGGACAGCTGGACCAGCGCATAGGTGCGGTCAGACGCAGGTGGACAGGCAGGGAGAAACGGAGGAGCCAGAGATAGGGATCAAGAGCTCACCGGAAACATACTGCGCACAGCAGTAGGTTTTAAGAAGCGAGCAGGTGGGTTGAGGGGCTGCCATTGTTCCTTGGGATTCAAATACTGAGGACAAGTCAGAAACACGCCAGGTGCGCCGCGCGACCCGTTTGAGAAGACGTATTCATTCAAAAACAGCAAAAGCTGCCCAGAAGGCCAGACCCCACTAGAAGTGGGCCTGCTTGCTGCCGGTGCTGCCCGGAGAACGAGATGACCCGGTCCATGAGTCAGCAGACAAGCCCAGCGCCTCTCTGAGGGACAGGCCGCGGGCTGGCGGCGAGAGGGTCGTCCCTCCGCACAGCACGAACCCGGCTGGGGAGTCGTGCTCAGAGCCCAGCGGCCCGGGCTTCAGCGCGGTGACTGAAGCTCGCCATCCGCTGGGAGACCATCGCCGTGCTCAGAGGGCTGTCAGGGCTGGGCGCGCGCAGAGCCGCCAGGGCAGGGGCAGAGGGAGTGGGGCGACACCCGGTGGAAGACGGCCAGCGCTCTGCGGGGTGGTGATGATGTGGGAGCTGGCAGTAACACGAGGCTCTGGCTCGTCTGAGGGAGGCCCCACTGCCCTGCCGTGTCCTGGACACTGACCTGGCTCCAGCAGGCCATCCTTTCCTGCAGCCCAGTCCAGATGTGGCGATTCTCCCGGAGGACAATGCGAGCTCACACAGCCACAGAAGTACAAAGGCACTACTGCAAGAGAACCATGTGGAGGTCACGCCACGCGGGTCTTAGCCTTTCCTCCTGACCCAAGGATGATAGGATCGACAGGGCCACGGCCACAACTGGCCAGCTGACCAGCACGCCCCACAGCTCTCTGCCCAGAGGCTGATCAGGTCTGTGAATCAGCCCTGCTAACTCTCCAGGAGGTCGTACCCGATACCAACTTTTAATGTTTTCATTTTCACAGCGTGGGATTCTTGGATGCGCGTTCTTGTCCACATTTTTGTGACTTGAGTTTTCATTAACACACTGTTTCAAGGGGAAAACGTTTCATTAACAGGAGGGGCAGATGGGCCGTAGGCGGCCTTTCTGACTCAGCAGTGTAGGCTGACTGACACAGAGCAGAGGAGCTGAGATCACATCCCGTCACTCCTCCCTGTCCCTGTCTCTGTCCCTGTCCCCTGTCCCTGCGGCGGCCCGCCAGCAGGCTGTCTAAATTTCACTTCACCTGGGCGCCGAGCTGCTTCATTAAACCCTTAATGTTTCTAAAGATTGCCTAGAATAGATTCGATTGTTTTAAACTGGCTCAGTCCTAAAATGGTTGTTAATATCAGGTAGCTGTAAGACAGTAATGGCTGAAATAACTTCAAAACACTAGGTGTGTAGGGGCGGAAATCTGAAGTGAGTTCAACTAAGGCTTGTCAGATGTGTCAGGATGTGTG